GTATAAAACTTCGAATTGAATTATTATCATTAATGTTAAACATTAACAATTGAAAATATGCCATTACATGTTAAGAAAATACGAAATTGTTTATTTATTTGTACGTTTATTTAATATTTTAATTTATATATAAATTATTTTTTAAGAAAAGCCATCAAAAATGTATGTATGTGTTTTGTTTTCTTATTCAAAAATATTGTCTGTTTGAGAGTAAAATTTACTATGCTATATATGTTCTTATCGAAGGCAACGTTGCCTAATTGAGAGTAAGAATGAAGAGTAAAATTTACTCTTTATGGTTGTTCTTATGTTCTTATCCCTAGAAATTTCCTCTCAAAAGTAAACAAAACTGCAATATGTGAGATGCATGCGATGTTAACATAAGAGGCTTTCTGGGAGTAAAAATCTTTTTTGAGAGTACATTGAAAGCATTTTTGTTTCTGTAAAATTTTGCTCTGTTGATATGTAGAAGTCTTTTTGTTATTGTAAAATTTATTTATAACTAGAAAATAATAAGAAACTTGAGTTAATTGTGACAATTTTTGTAGTAAAAAATGTAGAAAATGTTTAGTTTTGCATTCACGTAAGCAATTGATGATTCTCTCCATCTCTCTCCATATCTTTCTAAACCACCTAGCCATTTACGCCAACACTACTAGACAATCAGCATAGCCAGCTGTCCGTCACGTTCTCATAAAAGCCCTTTGTTTCGTCAGCCAGCAATAGCATAAGAAGTTAAAAGAAAAAACCAGTCTTAAATTTAGAACCAGTTTCGATGTACTTTGGCTGGCTTTCAACGTCACTTAAGCAATATGCAATCAAATCGACAACAACAACTCTTAGCTCACATACACTCTGTATTTCGATGGTATTTACATTAAGCATGATATGTATAATAATAATACTTTTGCGGTTCCGAACTAATAAAAACGTACTTATTTAATATGACTAGTACTTGTTTTAAAAAAACGTATTAGCTAGCAATGCTTACAAATAATATATAATACGCTTGTAGGCCCTGAAATTCTAATATATGCATAAACTTTTCTTATTTTCCAAGAAAAATGAACACAACAATTTCAGTAACAAAATTTTGGACATCTTGTACAATCGCGCACATGTGCAAACGTACAAAGTATCTTCAATTAATTGAAAATCGAAATTAATGCTAGCTTGTTAAGGTGCACTTTCGAGGATACAATATGCTGTCATCGCATTATATGGAAATGAAAATGGTACCATTAGCGAAACTAAGTTTTGACAATTTTCCTTTCAAAGATTTCGGCTCAGAATGGTTCCCTTCGTTTTAGTCACCTATTGATTACTAATATTCTGAATCATCTATAAACGACTGAAATTAAAATTTAGTGGCGATAAATTTCCCGAGTCTTGTTTAAAATGTACTTGACTCGGTTCACGGAGTTACACTCCCGCCCAGATCGAATCACTCAGAACATATTGAAATCCTAAACAGTAAATAGTTTCAAAGGGAACAAAGCGTATCAAAATGTACTGTTACCTAACTGCAAAATGCCATAGAACAAACACAAGCTTAATGTTTTGCAGTTCTAAAAGCGCTTAGAAGTGAGATAACGCGAGTAATAACGACAACGACTCAACATTAGATTTTACTAATCAACTGTGTTAGAAACACTTGGGTGAATCAAAGTAAAAAATTTTATTTTCTACCTCCATTTAATTGAAACCGTAGATTTCTGCTTTCAAAACAATACGCATCTATGTGTAATTGCTGTAAAATTGATCCAATTGGATTCATATTAGCATCACAGCATAGGAATTCAGCTGAGCATAATACTTTTGTCTTTTATTCGACTGCAAGGCTGTTAATTCAATCACCCCTTCTTAAGCGATATGCACATAAGCCCTTCGACAAACGCAATGATTCAGACAAAATGCACATTTATATGGCGCATGATAACAGCTAAAATCAAAAATGGATTAGATCGACTTATGTCAATCCATGACAATAAAACATTAAGTGTTTATTTACACGCAAGTTAAGGTATTTACGAAATAAAATGAAAATTACGATATTATGAAAATTTCCCGGGTAAGGGTCATAAATGAAATTCACAAAAGTTCTATGGCTAATAGGAAAATATATTCTAATGAGCATATTGTAGAAAAGAGGAAGTGGAAGCCGTCATTTTCGAAACCGTTCCATTCTGAATACAAGATGTTTAAGGAGTGTTTCAGATCTTAAAAAAAGTTTCTGGATCATTGATTACTTAAATACTTGTTGAGACTTAAAAACTTGCAGCACATTTTTGAGGCACACGCAACATTTATTTTTTTCTTCACGGCATTTTTCTACCCACTTCTGAAATAACAGGAAGCACGAATGAGAACAAATGGACTTTTTTATACGAAATTCTTGTTCTAGCACGAAACACAAAAAAATTGTTTGTAATTCTAATTTTAAAAGTGTTTTGCAATACAGCAACAACATACATGTTGGGGACTGCTGTGATAAAAAGTGTTAGTGACTTGGTCTATTAAGGGGAACACCCGAATTTTATGATCACTCTTCATCTGAATCAAACCCGACTGTTGTGCTAGACATATCTGACATACCTACCGATGATAATGCTATTGCTTGCACGCTTGTTATCAAGCAGTGATGAGTAGTTGCAAAGTTGATTTTTATTCCTTATTTCAATTGAACTTTTTACATGTTGCACTAATGGATTCAACTTTCATTGTACGCTAAGTTTAATTTTGCTTTGTAGTTTCTCTTCTTTATAAATAGATAATATCGATTTTTACAGTCATTGCCACTTTTTTACACGGTTTTTTTGCAAAATAGTTTTTTCATCTTACACGATTTTGTAAAGTTGAGGGAGGAACTTTTAGCATATGTAGCATCTATTTTTACACGATTTTTTTTTTGCACGATAACTACTATGTAAAAGGAGAGTTCGGTGCATACATACTAGATTACTTCTAACCACCTTACTTGAAAATCATTTTCATTTCTTATTCTTAACGAAATTGCAAATTTTTGAATCAACGACTTTAACTAAAAAGGTTTTTCAACATAAATAAGCCAGATTTGTTCAACTGCCCCAAAATTGGAATGGCATATAATCCTCTATAATTTCTTTCTTATTCATCTTACGGTTACATAAGCTATACGTTATTCGATAGTAGCTTTTAACATTGACTATACACATCAGATCGGCCCAGTGAAGATATAGAGTTCGAATATCTTGTCCTTCCATCGTATTTAATTAGGTAAAAATTTTATAATACTATCAAATTGATGTAATTAGAAAAGTATCAAGTGTGTAACAATATCATCTCTGCTACTTACTTTAGCCTGCAAAAATGATTCTCTTTTATTAAAAAAGTCTCTTTCGCGCCAATGAATTACTTAATCCGTGTTACTGTTGTTGTTATTAATATATCAACCAATCAGAATTCATAAAATAACGTGCTTACAAGACCTTATTCTCTGTTTTGTTATAATATTGAGATAAATGTACAACGTTACCATATGTCGTTGCTGCATTCCTCTTACAATGTATCTTATGTATCTAAAGTTTTTGGCTTGAGTTATTTGTAAATTGTAAAAGTATGTATTATTATTATTATTATTATAAACTTAGTCAGAGAATAAATTCTAAGACTAAAGTCTTAAAGCACTAGCATCTAAGGCTTTCGGCTTTTATTAAAAACTCTACCGCACTTGAGATTTGAACCCACGACCATTGAGTTGGTAGTCGAGACTCTTGCCTACTCGGCCACTCAGGCGGATGTAAAAGTATGTAATCAAGACCTCATCAGATGTCCTTGATTACGATTACATTAAACGATTTCAAGTAGAAGAACAAAATTTTCATGCTCTATTCATTCGAGTGGGCACGGCATTGTAAGCGTGTCCTTGGAGAAGTTTAAGTCACTTCCAAAGTCTTTTACAAATTAATAGCCGATATATTCATTTTCGCTAACGGGAGAATGTTCACTATAAATACTACACAGTTGCGCAGACAGACAGATGGACAGACGGAGTTCCACATTTGAAACCGGCCAAGAACTTATATATTTTCTGGGGTTTTTGAAGCTTGTTTCTGGGCCTTATAAAGGTCTAGAAAAAAATGGTAAATTTTGGTACACTATAATATTGGGTAGGCCTAGTCAATTTTTTCCATTTTTGCACAGATACTGCAGCCATACTTCTATCATGCGGTCCAATTTTTGTTGATTTATCTGCTGTAGCACATGAATAATGATCAAAAAAACAATCTTTTATTCGTTCTGAAAAGCAGAGGTGTTCTCAATGTACGCAGTTTTATAAGTGTGTCCTTCGACCGATTTGACCCATTTTCAATACCAACCTGCGTGCAAGAGCATCCAATGTGTCTGTTAAATTTGTCAAATCTGACGACTTTAAAATTGCTGCCGCTAAGAACAAATTTGCATTAATGATTATTAATAACAATAACTATAGATCAAGCAAATCGCTCCGGTAGAGTTGCGTTTGTAAAAAAAAACAGTTTCAGACGAAAAATAAGCAAAGCTATTAGAAAATGAATTATTAATGCGAAAATTTTAAAAAATTCAAAAAAAAATACAATTTGTCCGAAATTACATTTGTGAATTGTAAAGACAAAAAAAAAAAAAAACTTGGTAAAGATAAGTACAATTCATTTTAAATATTGACCTAAATTAAACTAAATATAGCCTAGCATACATTCTACATAATCAGCGTAGGTAAACGTGTAACAATAATAACGTATAACATGATAATATATAAATATATATAAATGCACTAACTTAACAAAAGTTTAGTAAAGCTAATGGTAATTCAATAACAGGGTTGTTAAATTTGCATGAATACGATAAATACGATACGTCGCAAATTATCGATAAACCTCAAATAGTTTTCTACGTTAAACAAAAGAGGCACTCATTCCTTTTCTTCTTGAATTGTCAAAGCATATGTACGTGTTAATTTTATATTTACGGGAAGAATTAGAAATATATAGGAATTTTTGCTGAAAATTCAATTAAATTTTGTCTGATTATATGAAATTAGTTCAATTACTACTTTAATTATTTAGAATTTCGTTTTAAATTTTGCGGATGTTCGTAATAATTACTGATTAAAAAAATTTGACCTTAATTTCTTATTTTGCTTATTTGTATTTATTTGTAGAAAGCACTTAAGATTTGGTTGTAACCAATATGGTTAACGGACGTATACCTTCGGTCTTTTCCAAGACCTATGTGACGCCGCGTCGTCCTTACGAAAAGGCACGCTTAGATCAGGAATTGAAAATCATTGGAGAATATGGTTTACGTAATAAACGGGAGGTATGGCGTGTAAAATATGCTCTAGCTAAGATTCGTAAGGCTGCTCGTGAATTGCTGACTTTGGAAGAGAAAGATGAAAAGAGATTGTTTCAAGGTACATGTGAATTTTGAAAAACTTTCCAAATATAAAATTGTGAACTATAAAATGTGTGGGCAATTTTATTGTTTGTAGAAAATACATATAAGTGATGATTAATTCGAAATTATGACACCTCTTGTCCGAGTTAAACATTGAAGATTATAGATATATTTATAAGAAAGAAACTGATTCTTTTAATTTGTGTATTTTCATTACCCTGCTAGAAATCTTGTCTTGTTAATAGTGTTTTTTTATGTCAATCAGGTAATGCTTTGCTGCGCCGCTTGGTACGTATTGGTGTATTGGATGAAACGCGCATGAAACTGGATTATGTTTTGGGTTTAAAAATCGAAGATTTTTTGGAGCGACGTCTGCAGACTCAGGTCTTTAAATTGGGTTTAGCTAAATCCATACATCATGCCCGTGTCTTGATACGTCAACGTCATATCCGGTAAATATCTAAAAACAAGAATGCAAGTTGGTGGTTTGGGAGTTATAGAATGAAAAATTAAATCTGTAGTTCAGTAAGGCCACTTGGGAGTCGTATAATTTCAATAACGTCTCCCAACGTCTTATTTTACACATCTATATATATTCATGAAACCTTTACCTCTGACCGTAAGTTGTATAAGAAGACTTTTTGTGTTTTATGTTCTCAAAATTCTTGTAATTAGTCTTTTTACAGATCACTAAACGAGTTTTCCTTTTTTATTTATTTTATATGATAGTGTACGCAAGCAAGTGGTTAATATTCCATCCTTTGTTGTGCGTTTGGATTCGCAGAAACATATTGATTTCTCTTTGAAATCGCCATTCGGCGGCGGTCGTCCTGGTCGTGTTAAGAGGAAGAATATTAAGAAAAACCAAGGAGGTGCAGCTGGCGCTGAAGAAGAAGAAGATTAAATATGATTAAATAATTTTTTAAATATAAAAAACTTCAAATATGGTTCATACAAAAGTCTTCTTTTTTTTAGTGCACAAATGGGAGATTTATATGCGTACGATGTCCTAACATAAATTGCTTAGCCTGTACTTTGTACAATATACCTAACTTATGTCCTGGATGCATACAGTTAGGGAGAGATAAACAGAAAGGCTTTTGCAGACCTTGCTCGAAGTAAGATTGTTCAATGTTGGCACGAGAGTCGTCCTTTTACAGTATCAAATTGCTGATGAAGGCTGAGAAAATCCGTAGACCTCTCAGAAATTTATTGAAAATCACGCTCTCAGTGATCGCAGTCGTCTAGGTTACAGAGGTGGTTTAAAAAAGGGAAAACTATACCGAATTGTTTAGTTGGAGTTTTGCTCATTGATCTATTTGGGTCTAGGTAGAACCGAAAACTTTAACCGCATGCAATACTTTTCTATTTTAATTGACAAGGTGTTTAATTCAACACTGTATGTAGACATTAACATTTATCACCACAGCATTTCGTTTTTAAAGAAAACATATCCAATTTCTATGTCCAGCAAATGTAGTTTAAAAATTTTCTTACATAAATTCTATATATTAACATTCGAAACACATCGCCGGCACAGAACAGCGATTGTTATCACCATGTGGATTTTTTCGAAAATCGTTCGGTTTTTTTAATTTTTTCGCTATAGACAGCCTTAGGTAATATTGTCTGATTAGCAACAAAGAATGTAAGTAAAATTTATTATTCAAGACATTTTCTTTGAGGGTATAAAACCATTTCTAGGATTAGCGTATTTTTATAACGTATAGACCTTTAAAACTATGCTCACGAATAATTCTTGTTTGCAAAATCGCGTAAAGTTGAGAGGGAGCTTAAAGTATTATCGGGATATACGCATTGCTGTAGCAATGAGATTGACCTCCCATAAATGTAAGTCCTAATCTACTAATCATACAATTGAATTTTTCAGAAAAAGTGTTACGTTACGTGCAGTAGTTCAAAAATAGTCGAGAAGAAAATTTGATTTATAAGCATTAATAACTAATAACAATAATTGCTCTAAAGCTTAACTCACTTTGTGAGAAACTTATGCCATTTCATGCAGCTGTTGCCTTTGGCAAGCCGTAAATTTGTATAGCTCTAAATCTTAGTATATTTTTTAGGAAAAAAATTACTGTTATATTTTTGTAATTATTAATTGCATCAAAAATCATTAATAACTCTGTTTTAAAAAACTCCATCTGCCCTGCTTGCCAAACCATTATTTTATGTTATACGTTACCCTTCCATCTATTTAAAATATCCCCGTTCTCATCACTTTTATCAACAAAATGTAAAATTTATTTCAAAGTTTACATCTCGGCATCTCTGTTGTCGGTTTGACGTTCTCACTCAATCATTTTTGTTACAAACATAATTAAAACCACTAACAACAACACGTTTGTAATTGAAAGTAAAGAGAAACGCGGAACCTTGAACTTCCTCAACTCTTGTGTCTTGCGAGGTTGCACTCTTTTCGGCGTAAAAAAGATTTTCACAAAAGTTTTTTATATTTAGTAAAAGAGAAAAAAAAATTAAACCAAAAATATATCAAAAATGCCAGCAAAAAGCAAAATTAATGTGAAAGAAAAAGTTGAGGATAATGTTTGCGATTTAAGTTTGTCTGAATTAAAGGAAGTTCCCGTTAGCGAAATTGTAAGTGTGGTTCCCTGTCATTGGCATAACGAAAAAGAGAAGCAAAAAAAAAAAAAAAAGCGAAAAAAAGAAAGTGAAAGTAGAAAGAAGTGACATATTCAAGTGATTATTAAGGCAATGGTGTCTGATCAGCATGAATAGGAAGTAACTAAGAAACTGTATAACAAAAAATGCATGATGAAAAGTAAATAAGAAGTGAGGAAATTCATATGAAATACGCCCTATACCCTTAATTTGTATAATGGTGAATGTGTGTTATTATCAACCTTCATTGCACCCTTGCAGTGACAGTAACATAGCCTCAATAAAGAATGCATTTTCTCATACTGCTTAGTTACTATTGAATGAATGCACTTCTCACATACTTTTCATAATTCGAAGGGTAAGAGTGGGCATTTGTCGACGGAGTGTAGGACAAATATGCATACATTGAGAAAATTCTGAATTTAATGCTTTGCCTTCTTTCCTTTATCTAGGCTTCTTTCAAACGTGTTAATGTTTTGGACTTGTCGAGCAACCGCCTCTTAACCTTGGGTGTAAGTTACAAATACTCTTTATGATAATACTATGCTTTACATATTAGTAATTTTAAGATTTTAATAGTTGCTATCAATCCATTTGTCTGTTATTATTACTTTTTTGAATTAGTTTCCGGTTTTATTATCATTATTACATACATGAAATCGCTTCTGGACAAAATATATATATATATATATATTTAACAGATTATACCTCTTCTTTCAATATCTTAGACGAGCGGATGAATCCATTTTCGCTATAATTTTTCGTTCAGAAGAGATATTGTCATTTCTGTGAACGAACTAAGTTGGTAATCAACTAAATTGTGGGCTTTCAGCACATTTCTGTTTAGTTTCGGAATGCTACTTCCTTCGGTTAACGGGAGTCGAAAATTACTTAGCTAAAGTAATTGGCCTTTGGTTATTGGTTTTTTTCAATTTTAATTGTGAATGGCGAACTTGCAGCTGGTTTGCTAGAGTATTATACAGGCTTCTTTCTCTCAAACTTTTTCATTGCCAATAAACGAGCCTGGATCTTTGATCTTAACGATTATTGCGTTTCTTATCGATCTTTACTAGCCTGTTTAGTAGGATATATCAGATTTCAGAAAGCTAATTTTTTCATAGGTATAGCATCACCCATAGGACATGTGGTCAAATTTTTGTAGATTTATATGCTGTAGTTTATGAGTAATGAGCAAAAAAAACAATTTTTTGTGCCTTTTGGAAAACAGAAGTGTCTTCAGGTTACACAGTACTGTAACCGTGTCCCACGTCCGATTTGACCCGCTTTCAACACCAACCTGAGTGCAAGAACTTAAAACCTTTCTGCCTACCTTGAATGCTTACATTACACAGGCTGACAGAGGGACGTACTTAATCTTACCCATCAGCGAAGAATCAGGGGTATATTCATCTTGTCAAAACATTTGCAACGCCCAGCAGGAAACTTCAGAGACACGACAAAGTATATATATTCTTGATAAGCATCATATTTTGAATCGATTTAAGCATGTTCGTCTGCGTAATGCCTGCTTCTGGCCAAAAAAATGAAGATCGGTCGATGGTACGTACATTGAAAACATCTCCTCTTTTTAGAAGGAATAAGAAATTGGTTTTTAGATTACTACTCATAAATTTGAACTATTATTCTATGAGCGATGCTGTAGTACTTGCACTAGAATGGGAAAATCGAATACGCCTACCCAATACTATAGTGTACTTTTACTTACTTGAATTTAATTCTTTTTTCAATACTTTTATAACAAAAACCAAGTTTAAAAATTCCCAGAAAGTATTAAACGCACCTAAACATGTCTGCCTGTTCATCCGTCCATCCGTCTGTTTGCGTAACTTTGTAGTATTTGTAATGCACCTAAGCATGCTCGTGTCCGCCTGTTCGTCCGTCAACCTCTTCGTCTGCCCGACTGCAAATTTGCAAAAGCTTTTGAAAGTCACCTAAATTTTTCAAAGAGACGACAACTACCACACGCTTGTGTGCCAAAAACTTTTATTTTAAAAATAGAAAAATTCAGACGTGCCCACTGCGTATTGCAGAGCATGAAATTGTTATAATTTTTTTTTTTTTTTGGGGATAACGGGAATAAAATATTGATCACATCGCTGAAGTATTATACTTTAAATTACTAATGTTACCGTTAGGTGTTCATGTTTTTAAAGAATCGTTACACATGTAACCAACATATTTGTTCTCATCTAACGTTTCGGCTGAATACGAGTCTACAACAGACGGAAGAGTTTGTGGCACAATGGTACGCATAACCGCCAACTCGGTTAAATCGGACAGCAGCCCTCCTGCGGATCGCTGCATTGCACTGTCAGAAATATTTATATTAATCATTCAAAGTCAGGTTGCATTCATTATACCCTATATCATTTGTCGTACGGGCTTATTAAGTTTGGGTGTGAGATGCTCAACGATTCAGAATCACTTTCAGATAATTCTTTCAATCGATTTAAGTTAGTTTGTGTTTTTGTGTTTAACTTACAGATGATACGTCGCTTAGCCTTTCAATGAGGCTATATATTGACACGCTGGTGGGTTCAAAAATAGCGCAAAGCCTTTTGAACATTAAAAAGTCCGCAACTGGCTTATGCCGTGTATTTCACACGTAGAAAATATTTCTCATGCCTTTTTTCTTAATCGCTCACGGCGCACTGTAAACTGTAAATATCATAGACCTCGATGAAGACTTTCTTAAATGTCAACTTTTACTTCTCTGTCTCTGCCTGTCAGACGGAGAAATTTCAACGTCCGGTGGTCGAGTATATAAGAATCAATTTATTGTTGGATTATTGTCTGAACGTTACTTCGCTTAATATTTGTTTATTACAGTTAACTTTATTTGCATTTGTATGTAAAGAAATAAAAACTGATTTAAAACCGATTTTGTTACGAATAGTAGGTATATATCCAGTGTCACAATGTCTAAATAATGAAATGCTTTGGGAAATCAATTTTTCGAAAACTCACATAAGTAAAATATATATTTATAGGCAAATATATATTTCTAATTTTACAGAACAATTTTACTTTATTAACCCGTTTGGTGAAATTGGATTTAAGTAAAAATAAAATAAAATCTTTACCTGATGAATTTGGTGTTTTGCGCAATTTACGTCATCTGAACCTTTACGACAATCAACTGCAATATTTGCCCATAACTTTTGGTGATTTAAACAGTTTACGTTATTTGGACCTTAAGTGTAATCCGTTGCATACAACATTGGCGAAAGTAGTTGGCCCATGTTTAACAAATAAGGATTGTCAAGAGTCAGCTAGAAAAACGGTACGTTTATTTAAGTCAAATATAAAAATATATATATTTTTTTTTTAAATTTGTCTACATATGCGTCATATGCATTTTAGGTAAATTTCATGACTCAATTAAAAGCTAACAGCACGAAGGAAGATTATGTGAACATACATCAGCAGCAAACTCTAGCATCGTTAAGTAAAGAGATTAACGCCGACAAAACTAGTAACGATAAGGCGGCAGGGGACATTCACAAATCAAAAAAGTCCACTAAGAAATATAAATCAAAAAAGAAAGCAAATTTCGATAATCAACATCAAACCTCAGCAATACCAACAACAATTGGCACGATAACAACGACAACGACAACAACAACAACAACAACGTTATCATCATCAACATCAGCATCGGCCACAGCATTAGGTAACAATAATAATTTAACTATAAGCAAAACTGCAAAATCGAAACGTTCAGCTGATGGCATTTTAAAAGCTAATACGAATTCAAGTCGTAATCATGGTACTGCGTTGTCAACTTTAATAATATTTTTATTATTGTTGGGCGTTAATATTGTTGTCATTTATATGGTAATGTTTAAAAATCCGGAAATTGCGGAAAAATTAGTAGAAGCCATACCGCATCAGTACCGAAATTTAATAATAACAAAAACGGAAATTTTCCGTTTACGCGTTACCGACTGGATTTCACAGTTTCGCACTCCACCGGAAGAGAATTGACGTTTCATCTATTTGAAGCCATAAGTGTTTAAACACAAAAATGAAAAAAAACAAAAAAGACTGAAAATAAAATAAAAAACTGTCGGATAGCAATAGTACGGCAGGGTAGTAGTGGCTTCAAATAGAAAAAAAAAAGTAGAAAATACGAAAACAAAAAAGTTGATGGAAACATTAACAAGAAACGCAACCAAAGAAGTTTAAAATTTTCTTAAAAAAAAAAAAAAAAAAACAACAGTAACATTAGGAATAGAAGAAAGAACTTACGTAGAGACTTTTTTTTTTTTAACTTTAACTGTAAACTGCCATTAAAAATTTTGAGTAAGTATTTTTTAATAACATTTATTAAGTAAATTATGCAGAAATTATGAAGATTTTTTAAAGTTAAAATTAATTAAAATTAAATAATTCCAATATAATTAAGGAAGGAAGTATTTAGTTTAGTGTAACGTCCAATTTTCAAACAACAAAAAGTTAACAGGAAGCCAGGCCATGATAGATCGAGCAAGGGAGAGAAAGAAAGAAAGAAAGAAAGACAGAAAGAGGGAGATAGAGAGAGAGACATAGAGCAATATCAATACAAACAAACACAACTACAGTTCCATAGTATTATCATAATAATAATAATAATAATAAAATTAATTTGTTTTTAATTACCGCTATACCACCAATACAATTACAAAGTTCAATCACTCACTCACACATTAAATTAAAATAAATAAACGAAAACGAAGTGCAAAGAACTTTAAGTTTGACCACTTAATCAACTATTCCAAGCTACAAACAATTGATGAAAAATATGTCAGGTTTATACTTATTTTTGTAATACACATATCCACATCGCACACTTACATACACTCACTACCGCAAACGAAGAACAACAACAACAACAACATATATTACTATAAACTGATAACAGTTTATGACAATAGTATATAATAGTATAACACAATAAAAACAATGATAAGGATTTTTATACCAAAACTTTCAACTCATAGAGCGCTTGTTTTTCTTTGTTACTTGCTTGTTTGAATTTTTACATAAACAGAGTTTTATACAATTACATAGATCATATCTATAGTCGTGCACCTACACACATACACACAGCTATCCAACCACATACATACGTAAATACACACATATATATACATACACACACACATAAACACACAAACAAACACAAACACATAAAAATCAGTTGTAATCACTTACAATAAAAAATAATGAAACTCCTACTCAATAATCAGCATTCCATCATCGTCATCCCTATTGAATAATAGTAATTTCTATAAGAATTTCTGCTTTTTGTTGTTAATTTAAGTGTTCTCTTCTCTATTTAAAATAACCGTTTGATTATTATTATTATTATTATTATTATTATTCATTATTATTATTATTATTATTATTCATTATTATTATTATTATCACTATTATTACTATTATTATTATCATTATTCATTAATTAAATTTTATTATATATAAACATATGTACATATATAGATACGCATGTATATATGTACAGGTATGCATTGACACGTATATATGAAAATTTAAAAACATTTACACATATATATGAAAATTTTTATATATACATAATACATACATATATATATATATATATATATATATATTATGTATATATGTATATAAATATGTGTATATGTCTATATATATGTATGCTTATACATCAATACAACATCTCTTATTAGTTAACAATAAGGTCTATGTAAACATGATTATTACTCAGACAGACACCATCATTATCATTATCATCGTGCATATATATAACATTTTTTATTAATTATTTCTCATGCATTTAATTATCTTGTTTTGAATGTATATTATTATTTCTATATATAGAAATATATGTAGAAATGAACAAATTATCGACCGAATAAAGTGTAAAAGTATATATTTTTATATAATAAGAAGACTGTTTTTCATTTTCGAATAATTTAACTTAAGGACTGAGGCGCAATGAATTTTATTCATTTACTTAATTATACCCATCACTGTAACATGGGGGTATACTCATTTTGTTTTTTTTTTTTTTTTTTTCATAATATATGTAACACCCAAAAGAAAGCTTCAGAGACCCTATAAAGGATATATATATATTCTTGATCAGCGTGACATCTTGACCTGATTTAGCCATGTTTGTTTGTCTGCGTGGTGTGTGTTATCGGCACTCTCCTCGTCGCAAATATCAAATTTGGTAGACATATTGGAAGTTTCTGCAAGAAGGTTGATATTGAAAATGGGAAAAATTGATTAGAGCAGAAGCGAGCAGTAGTCCGTAAACTGAACATAACTCTGCTTTTTCTAACAAAAATTTTTGTATTTCGTTATAAGGAAATTATTAAAGTTAGAAGGCCGAAACTTTCCACACTTGCTTTACGACGCACTTTACTCTCTAGGTCTAAAAATGGAACCAGTCGGCCGTGTCCACACAAAGTTATAGGTAATTAAATGAAATTTTTTTCAATTTTCTGAGGTTAAATGCCTATTTATCATAAGACAAACATCCCTTAAAGAAAGATATATTACCTGTCTAAAAATGGGTTAATTTTAAAATGAATATGGTAGACAAAGCGGTTAATTTTTTCGTAATAATACCAGCGATATGGGTATCAAATAAAAGAGCTTGGAGAATAGAATGCGAAAAGCATAGTGATGGGTATGCGAGATTTGGCTCCAGTCCAATATAACTTTCTTACTTTTTTATATTATTTCATTTGGAAAGATAATCACAAGCTAAATATTCGAATATATGGCTCAACTCTGGAAGGATCTTACGTAGAAGAAATGAACTGTATCTATTAATAGCCACTGAGCTGTAGCTCATAGCTAATAGCCACCGATAGCTCAAATACTATAGTTGATTACAGAATAGATGTATGCTTTTTTATCAATAAGTCGTATGTATCGTAAGTATTCGAAATCGTACATTTTTACGATGGGGGAGCACTTTGCAAGTATTTGTCCCCTCGAATTATGAGTACCATATATATTAAGTCTGTGTATGTTTTGACAAATGCAAATTTTAGTGCCCGATTTAATGGATCTTCAAACATGACGAGGATTTTGCTTTTTATTCACGAAAGTTTGAATTTTTTCTTTTTCAATCAATTAGCATAAAAAGTTAGGCTCAATTTAAAAGCTGCTAAGAATGTAATTTAGTCCATCTGTGAAAATGACTTGTGACTATCTGTGCCTATTGCCACTATTTTGCCTAAATTGGTGCGATTATATAATTTTCGAATCTTACACTGAGATATAACTTGAAACTGTGCCTAAAGCACATCCGGAAATTAGATATTTGGCGGAATCATAACGATCGGATGCAGTTTCTCTCTCTAGGTATGCACTATAATGCTGAGAAGAGATTTCATTTCTGCTCTTAATCTTAATTTTGAATGAAGCCAATACTCGCAATCAAAAAGCCAACAAACGACAGCAACGAATGACGTACAGAACAAGATATTTGCTCTTGTGCTTGTAAAATTTTCAAAGCTCCGCTTAAATTAATAAAGACATAATAGAATAGACATTCATTCATAAACATTTTTAAGATCATTCAATTCGTTCTCTCATTGCTAAAATAATAACGAGCAACAACGCCATCTATTCATGGGTATTAGCTTCATGGGGAGCCTTTTCTCTCTTATTTCATTATTTTTTGCTAAGAGCTTGAATGCTTGTTTGGCGATTAATTGATTTGATTAAAAAAAAAAAAACAACAAAAAAGAGAACTAAATTCGGTCGGGACCGAATTTTTTCTACCCATCATCATTATCTTAAAAAAGACAAAAGGAGTAGAAGAACAAAATTTTCATGCTCTACAATAAGAAGGGGGTGCAGTTGATTTCTTCTAATTTTAAAATAAAAGCTTTTGTTTTAGAGGCATGTGGGCGTCGTAGGCATGTCCTTTGAAATGTTTAGAATAATTCCAAATTCTTTTGCAAATTTTTAAGCGATATCATCATTTTCGCTAACGGGGGAATATTTACCGCAAATAATACAAAGTTGCGCAACCAGACAGATGGACAGACGAAAAGGCAGACATGCTTAAGTGCATTCAAGAGTTGAAATTGACCAAAAATCTATATACTTTATGGGATTTTTGAAGCTGAAATAATAAAATTTCGATACACTATTATATTGGGTAGGCGTGGTCAATTTTTTCCATTTTTATGCATAGATGCTACAGCATCGCCTATAGAAATTTTTGTACGTTTATTTGCTATAGCGTATGAGTAATGAGTAAAACACCGATTTTTCATTATCTTTGAAAAGTAAAGGTGTTCTCAGTTTAGGTGATGCTGTGAGCGTGTCCTTCGACCGTTTTGGCCTATTTTCAATAGTAATCAGCGTGCAAGAACTTGCAATGTTTTTGCCAAATTTGGAATCGATAGCTTCACTTTTGCGGCCAAGAGAATGTTTACAACAAACATTACACAGATGGACAGATGGTCAGACGGACAGACGGAGATTCTAAAATCGTTATAAAACGTGATACTGATGAAGAATATATAGATTCTGTGAGGTCTCTAAACTTTGCTTCTGGGCGTTGCAAACGTTTTGACAAAATGAATATATCCCTCATAGTTCGGTGATGGGTATAAAAATAATGTTTTGGACTCAATTATTACATATCATAATAATTTAAATGAGATAAATGAATCTTTTTAAATCAGATATGTATAGCAATTGAGTTTTCCTATATCTGCATCCAGTTCATTCAATTCGATACCCGTCTTTTTTCGATGTCCGCCTGTACCAAAATTCATTTCATATAAATAATAATTTTATGAAGTATTGCTATGGTATTAGGCGAAGCTAATGGCTGGCGGGGCGTCCGAAACTAAACAAACTATACGCAATAAGATAAATTTAAAGAAGAGTGAATCGATTTAAAAAAAAAAAATCGGGTTAAAGAATACCGTGAAGAAGCATCTGACTAATACAAAATTTATGAAAGTTCAATGCAAACGGATGTGAAGAATGAAACGAAACGAATTACAATTGATGTTTTATTAATACGCTCACTGCGATATGTACCGTTTTCATCGCACGCCAAAAAGCATTAAGGTCATGCGTTAAGCTCAACTTTTTCAATTAAAATTCTAAAATCGAAACATTAATTGCTGCGGTGTCACTCACTATATCTTATGGTGTAATGGTGCAGACAATACTGCTCGAGATCGTTACCACCGTTACATACGCCGGAATTACAAATTCTGCTTTTTCTCTCCTCAAATGGAGAGTTTGTTTAAATTTACTAGATCTGTTGGCGTGCATCGAAGATGGAACACTTATTACGAAAATGCCAGACCCTGACAGAGGATATGCCGACATACGCATAAGTGATTAAATGAAGCAAGTAATATGGATGACCATATGCAAAGCTTGCGTATGACTATAGAACCTGTATATCTACAATTTCTTAATGGAAAATATGAAAGACAGAGACTCGAGTTTGAGGGCAAACTCTAATATGCGTAAACCTGCATGTGCGCATGCCGTATGGATATCTTTTATAAAACGAGTTCGCGTAGATGAAGAGTTCGATTCATACCGATGAAGAGATAGCTTAGCTTAGCTTAGCTATTTCGTTACTTTAGCAATTTTCTCTTTTCGTCTATGAAATCAAAGTATGGGTTATCTGTGTAATGTATTCAGTGACTTTGGCACATAGCCTGCATTTAGTTTTTCTCGTGTTTACGTGAAGATGGTTTACTTTGTAAAATATTTTTCAATAGTTTTAATTGGTTCTAGTTTTAATTTAATTTATTCGGGGGAAGTAAATATTAGATACGAACCAAAATGGTCAAGTTTAGATAGCAGACCTTTGCCGTCGTGGTACGATGAAGCTAAAATAGGTATATTCATACATTGGGGTGTTTATACCGTGCCTAGCTTGGGATCAGAATGGTTCTGGATAAATTGGAAAAGTAAGTCGTACATACCATCTTTTTTTGCAGAAGAGAATCTTTTTATTTACATAGTTTTTTTTTTTCTTTCTACTTTTTCAGATAAAAATGAAAAATACGTGAAATTCATGGAAAAGAATTACAAGTCGGACTTTTCTTATCAGGAATTCGCGCGAGATTTTAACGCTGAGCTATTTAATGCCACTCAATGGGCTTTGTTGTTTCGTGACGCAGGAGCCAAGTAAGAGATTAAAGAATATTAAAGAGCTTGAACGCAAATAATTTTTATTTTATTTTAAAAATTTACTTCCAGATATGTGGTATTGGTTAGTAAACATCACGATGGTTTCTGCTTGTGGCCATCGCCGCAATCGTTTGGCTGGAATAGTATGGATGTAGGACCCAAACTTGACCTAATACGTAATGATATATATAAGTGAATAGCCTGCTAAAAGACATATTTATAGTTTTCCTCCGATTCCCTAAACGCATCCCTTTGCCTGATGGGCTTAAAGGTTCAACTTTTCAAATATTTATTGTAATCAAAGCAAAGGTCGCTGAATTTTAAATCAAAATATGAAATGACATAAAACAAATTTGCTAATGCGTCATGGTCCTCAATTTTTTAGTGTTGTCTTCATATGACATTCTTTCATGTCAACTTTTTATATGAGATTGTTTTGTTTTGTTTGTTGTTTTTTTTTACAAAATCTTTCCATTTCTCAGTGATATCTCGCTTAAAGTGTAGCTCACAATATCACAATATAAAATTTTGATTTTGATTTTGCCTTTACAGTTAGTTAGCTATTCATTTATTTTTTTCATAAGCTTTTATAATAACAATAACTTAATTATAACTTAATTATAATAACTTAATTTATTGTTTTTATCAATACGCTTCAGGTGAAGTATCCAGTGCTATACGCCAACATACAGACTTGAAATTCGGCGTATATTACTCCTTGTTCGAGTGGTTTAATCGTCTTTATCTTAATGATAAACTGCATCTATTTATGCGGCAGGATTATGTCGATAATAAAATGATACCTGAGCAGATGTATTTGGTTAGGACATATCAACCGGAAATCATTTGGTCTGATGGTGATTGGGAAGCACCAGTAAAGTATTGGAAATCCCAAGAGTTTCTTGCCTGGCTTTACAATGATAGTCCCGTACGTGATACCGTGGTAGTCAATGATCGTTGGGGCATAGGTACTTCTTGTCATCATGGTGGTTTTCATAACTGTGCTGATCGTTTTAATCCGAAAACATTGCTCGAACATAAATGGGAGAATTGTTTCACTTTCGATAAAACCAGTTGGGGACAACGTTTCGATATAACGCTTAACGATTTCCTTACCGTCGAGGAGACTATTTCGCAGATAGTTACCACGGTTAGTTGTAATGGTAACGTTTTAATTAACATAGCGCCCACAAAATACGGTACCATTTTACCAATATTCGAGGAGCGCCTACGTGAAATGGGCAAATGGTTGAAGATAAATGGCGAAGCGATTTATGGCAGCAAACCCTGGTATCAGCAGAATGACACGTTAACAGCAAATGTCTGGTATACTACTAAATCGGATCCGCGACCTAATAATGTTACCTTTTCTGTAAACATTTATGCGATTATATTAGATTATCCCTACAAAACCAATTCCATCAATATTAATCCCTGGAATGCGTTCATAAAGGATCCTTTAGCAGCATATGTGAATTATAAAGGTTTGAAAGAAGAATTGGGTACGAAAATAAAATCGATTACCTTATTAGGCCTACAAAATACTACAATAGAGGTGAAGTTTCAACAAATTTTATACCTAATCATAAATTTATTTCAATGTATTATTGTATGTATTTTCAGTGGGCACTTAACTATTCCTCGTTGACCATTAATTTTCCTGATAAACGTCACATCGATCATGCAGGTCTGAAGTATGCTTGGACTTTTAAAATAGCCACAGAACTTTCCGATTTTTAGATAATGTTTTTACCAGTTTCGCTGCATCAGCCTAGCATTTAATAAACAATTTAGTTATGTGACAATAAATAAGAACAAATGAATATAAAGATTAAAGAAAAGTGCATCATACGCAACGAAATTTGAATAATAAGAAATCTATTTTCAATAAAAAATAAAAAATAAATAATTATTGTAATAAGGATAACAGTATGGTATTGAAGGTACAATGGCATCACATTACTTAAATATTTCATTCTTCTTTTCTTTTAACCGAATATGATGAAAAAGGGACGTTGTACACACTTACATATTTATATACATGTATGCACATATCGCTACGGTGAGCGAAGAAGTTCGAAACATACCGCACTGGGGGATTTAAATGCTGCCATGAACTACTACATTTTACCTACATTGATATACGTACTTGAGCTGGATTAAAAGTTTCAATAGAAAGGAAAAACCGTCACAGCAATGAGAAGAGCAACAAGAAGATCAGCCGGCTAAAGAATGAGTAAATGAAAGCCCAAAAGGTAGAGGTAATCTAAGTCAATTTAATTCGCGCGACACCTTCGGGGTAACCATTAAGGAAGGTTGCACTGACATGCTGGAGACTATTGCGCGAGGAGACAAGTAACGATGTATGGAAATGGCCCTACGAAACCATTACCGCCTACAGCCTACACCAGGAATTACTAAGCCCTCTACGAGCGCGAAACGTTATAATTCCATAACGAAGGAAGGCGGAGCGCACGTAAAGCCCTAAAATAAAATAAAAGATACCGAACAGAGTACCAAACACCCTTCCATTTCCTGATATATACAGGGAGAAAAAGAAAGCTACGAGTTTTGCTACATAAGTCTGGTAAACTGATAGATAGCCTGTGCTACTACAGACCTATTTGCTTTAGAAATGAGAAGAAAAGCTTGAGAGCGAAGGAACTTTCCTAAGCTTCGATCCTGATTGTAGAAAAAAGGAGAAGAACTCTATAATATTGGGTGGGCACGGATGATTTGTTCTGATGTCAGACTAAAAGTCGAAATTTAAATGATATATGTATTGCATTTTGTAAGTAATAAGCAAAAACACCGACAACAAAGGTGTTCACAGTTTTTGTTACATAGACGTGTGGGCGTTGTAAGCGTTTTCTTTGATAAGTTTAAAAGCGATACTTCCCTGTTTGTGAACACGAGAATGGTTACCACAGTCGGACATATTGGTAGATGAATGGTGGGACATGGTTAGGCGCATTTGAGCTTTGGGTTGAAATGAAATTGTGACATTCTACAAAATTAAGTAGGCATGGCCAATTTTATCCAGAGCTAAAGATGCTACAGCATTGCATTACAGAATAGGTGGTCAAATTTTTTTAGATTTATCTGCTGTAGTTTATGAGTCATGAGCAAAACTTCATTTTTTTATTCCTTTTGAAAAACGAAGGTGTCCCTCGACTGATTTGGCCCGCTTGCAATATCAATTTTCGCGCAAGAACTCGTAATGTTTCTGTGAAACTTGAAGGCGATAAATTAATTCTTGCGGCCAAGAGAATGTTTACAACGGACATTGTGCAGACGGACGGATAGACATGCTTAAATCGAGTTAGGAATTGTTGCTAATCAGGAATACACATACATTGTTTGGTCCCTGAAGCTTTCGTCTGGGCGTTGTGTATGCGCCTCATCCTTCGGTGATAGACATAAAAGTATTTATTAGTTAATCAAGTCTATCACTTATCAATGGACGTCTCTTAATATAGGATCCTTCGTCGAAAATATCATTTTCAATTTTGCTCCATTTTTGAAGTAGTGATGCACAGCTGTCATTGCAGTGACCTTTGTCGAGTCAAAGTTAGGAGTTTTTCGCATGTGGAGCGATACACCCTCACACAACGTATTGAAATAATGACAATTTTTGCAAAATTATACGAGATGATAATGCACCTGTCCAACCATCCTGTCCAACTGCTTGGGTACGCAGACAAGTAAAACTGTCGTACCTGGAGGTTTAAAGGAATTACTCAAAGTCAGAGTGAGGGACAAGTTGATGCGGTTTTTGCACTTTCCGTGTAATAGGGTTTGGCCAAAAAATGAAGATGATTTGAATTAGTTTAAATCCGAATCTACTTTTTAACTTTTGAGTAGTATTTTGAGGCAAAAGCTACGATCGGTAAATTTTTGGTACCAGCGACCTCCAATGAATACACAGTGCAGGAAATGGTAAAGTACAATTTTAACTATGGATGTCGGCATTTGCTAACACTTGACTGAATGCAATTTTTTTTCGCCAACCATTTAAAAGCTAAAAGAAGATATATCTGCTACGTTTAATTCAATGTGTCTTAGTAGGTTGCAAAATATAGTTTTTTGACTTAATTGGACGTGAGCGTAGACTGATGGTTGGAGGTTTTAAATGAACTTAATTAAGTTTTAAATCAGCCAATGTCGGCTATATTAACTGACGAGACTGATAGAAAGACAGATTAGCTGACAGACAGACCAACTTACTGGTAGAGGCAAATACTAGTGGATATAATATAAATGTTGGCCAAGTTTACTTGCATAAAATATTATATTTTCTTGTCCCTTATTTTTATTATTATTAGCTGAAGCTTGCTCGGAATGGAAATTCAACAGCAAACAATATGATATGTTAAACACGCTGTTAATCATTTAAAGATATTTGTCCACTTTATTATTGTTGAGTTTTTTTTTTTTTTCTACAAACGATAGAAATCAATGTAATGTCTTGTGACGCCGAATAGGTATTAAGTACCAGTTTCACACTTCTTCACGGATATTATCTAGTATTCATAGACGGAACAAACAAACCCATAGGTTTTGTTTTCGAGTCGCAATGCTATGCAATGTTCCTGACATTGGTATAGTCCGACGAGTTATGGAGACGACGAACTGACTTGATTTTCTTTTAAAAGTAGAAATCACTGTCCAAGTCTTTTTCTAATAAACGAACTAACGCGCTATTGTTGTCACATGCAACTATATGTGCCGATATAAAGATAATTCAAACCATAGTAAATATGGTAGGTTCTAAAACAGTCTTGCCTTTATCTAAGACAGATTAGAAAGCAGCAAAAAAAGAAGCAAATATATACAAATACTATAGAATCCAATAATGATTTACTTTGTCTCTCTATATATATATATATCTCTCTCTCCCGTTCAAGCATAGAGTAATATTAGTTTGGGGAAAAAGAAATCCATTATTTTTATATGAACTTCAGGACTTTATTTAACATGCTTCGGATTGTCAGATTTGGGTCAAATATATATATCTTATAGAAGTCTTGGTCTCTATTTGCAAAAAACTCTAGTAGTCGATTTTCACAATCCTCCCTAGATTCCAATTTTTTATCATTAAAGAAATTTTGCAATGCAAGAAAAAGATGATAATCGCTTTAAATTAAGTCCCGATTATATGGCGAATGCATTAAAACTTCCCAACCAAGCTCCCGAAGTTTCTGGCGATTCACTGTAGAAGTGTGTGGCCTAGCGTTGTCCTAGTGGAACACGACACCTCTCCTGTAGGCCAATTCTGGCCGTTTCTGGTCAATCGCTATCTTCAAACGGTCCAGTTGTTGACAGTAGAGATCAGAATTTAGCGTTTGGCTATATGGATACTTTACGAGAAATCTATCAGTGCAGCCATCTACCGAAAAAATAATGGATTTCTTTTTCCCCAAACTAATATATTTTAAAGGACGACGTTGGAACTGAGTTAGTCTAGGCGCTATGTACTCTTTTCCATATCCTCCTACTCGCATTCCTACGTTTTATAAGCGATTACATAATTTGCCTAATGAGCTTTGAAAAAAATTTTTTTTTAATGAAAAAATTTTTTTATTAATGAAACACCCAAACCCCTAAAATTATAATAGAAAGATTTCAGCCAAAATTTGTTTATTAAATATTAAACGAGAGACTATGTGAATATGTAGATGTAATAGTTTTTTAAGAAATCTAAAACTAGGTAAGCTCGGGAGAAGGCAAGCTTGTATAGCTAAATCGAGTTAGTAGAACCTATATTTTTAAGAATACCTGTACATTTTTGGGTCTTTATGTATCTAACTATGCTGCGCAATCTAATCGCACAATATAACATGCGTTTTATGCATTTCGATATATTCTTTCTTTTGTTTATAATCAATGAATATTGTTTAACCCGCAATTATAACGTTGTACGTTACATACAGTATAATGCATTTTAATGTTGCCTCAAATGGTAAAGTAACGTAAAATGCACAATATATATACTTAAATAGTGCAACATTATCCGAATCAAAAAATTAATTCATATATGCCAAATTTGACCTATAATCTTAATCTAATCCGGTGTAAGCATATACGCCGTTTACAGCGTATCTCCGATGTTTGCTTGTAAGCTTGCATGGAAACTTGAAACATTTTTGTAATTATTTATCATTTTGTAGATATATCTAACTTTAAAATTCATTTACACATTACGCATTCACCTTCCCACCCGCCCACCTATTTGCGATAATGTACGTATGCGTATGTGTACGTATGTGGGTATGTATATATGTAAATATGTATGTATGTGTATGTATGGATGTATGTATGCGTGTGTGTGTGTGTGTGTGTGTGTGTGTGTGCAAAAAATGGTGTCTTTAACGTGCCTTCGTGTATTACTTATTACGAGGATCAAATAGCGCTTAACAAAAAACTCGAATAAAATAATCAATAAAAAAATCTCACGCAGCAATTGTCTGAAATTTCAATACTCAAACAAGTCGGGCGACGTATGGACGTATGTGTTTGCGAATATATTTGTATATTGGTGGGAAAGTTACTTTTTTTTTTTTTTGTTTGCTTCGAATTATATATGATATAGAAATAAATAAACATTTAAGTGAGAAAGAAAGCCCGAAAGCTGACTTCGTTTTATGTCGAATTTTGAACACTTATCAGACATTACAATAAACAAGATGACCTCCTCGGCCTTGCTGTGCCCATGTTTTTTTCGCTAATGTGAAAGGTGGTGA